ATAAATATTCCTGAATGCTTAGTAGCTTACCAATGCAAAGTCTGATCTCCCACTTCTTTCTACCACATGTCAGTCAAGGGCTGCACTCATAATCCTCTTCTACCAGGTCAGACTGTTCAAGTAGCCATGATTTCTACCATCTCCAATTTCTTTGGGCAGAAGGAAGAGTTTTCCTTTTTTCTTTACCATCCAACATCAACAGAATTTACGTACTTAATATAGCTATTCTGAAAATTGTATTTGTGAAAACAATGTGTAAAATTATTTATAAATGCTATACTTTTTGAATATTACAAATTTTAAATAAATCTTTCATACTGAGCAATTCTTTTAGCTTTCCTATTATGGTTTTCCAAATCTGTTTTTCCTGCTTTGCTTTATACCCTTCATAATTTTGTATAGAAAATATTTCTAGGTAATGTTGCATTTTAATTTCTATAATTTATTCAAATTTGTTATTCAATTTTAATTAATCCACAAATATTTGATATTTCATTTATTGTTAATAAAACATGAAAGACATTTATTATTTTGAATGAGATATAATTATATAAGCAAAATATTAACCAAAACTTAAAAATAGTTTCAAATTTTAGAAAACTTAAATGCATTATTATATATATATATTAGTTATTAACACATAATTTCTTTCCTAAATTCTCCTACTCACAATTGTTTTGATTTCTTAGGAAAATAAATTTCTTTTTTAATTTTATCCATTAGGATTCAGAAGTTTCTGTAGCTTTCCAGCTCAATGTGCTATTTAAAAGAAACATGGTTTCCATAAAAATGTTATTTCATATATCAAAGGAAAATATAACTTAAATTCCATGTGTATTTCAAATCAGTCATTCAATGTCAATCAATATGACTGAGTTGCTATCTATGAAAAAAATATCCATTGTGAAGCGCATCTCGGGCTGCTATAAAACACTATTGTGTGGGTGGCAGAGTTTCTCAGAATTCTGAAGGAAGGGATGCACAAGATCAGGTTGCCACCAGATTCAGTCTGTTGAGGGCTCTCCTCTTGGCTTGCATACAATTGCCTTCTCACTGTGTGGTCATTCCTGGGTTGCTGCAAGATCCCTCTTTCCCTTTCATTCTTTCTTTCTCTCTCCCTCCCTCTCTTCCTCCCTCAATGACTCTTACTTTTCTTATGAAGACACTTATTTCATCAAGAGGGACACACCCTCATGACTTAATCTAAACTTCCTGGGGACCTCCTGCAAATACCACCATACTGAGAGACAGGACTTCAAATTATCAATTGGTGGGGAACATTCACATTTAGACCATCAAAGAGGGTAAAGATTCTTCACTCAAGAAGAATGAGTGTGTAGAAGAAAATAGAGTTTAAGAAGTTAGCAAGTGTAAAGATATGGAGTCTGAGCCTACTTTGAGGAGTTGCAAGGTTAACACATGGTTGCATTGCCCCAGAGAAAAATCCTAGCCAACACTGTACCCTTCTCCACCCAGCCTCCTGCTTAAAAGTGCCATCTTGACACTATCCATCCTAGGTCTTAGAGGTCGCCAGGCAGGTGCCTCTAACAGTTCAATCAACCTAGACTTATGAACTAGCCAGGGAGCCCTGCCCAACCTCCCATGCCCTCAAGATATAACAGGGAAGCCCTCCTAAGTAGCTCAGCCTACACACACCCCCAGAAAACAAATAGGTGCCATCCTCTTGCTGACCTGGAAGAGGACAGTGATCTCAGCCACCCTTTCACTGCTAAAAGCTGTGAGGATCTGCCTCTCCACCCTCAGCACAGGGAAATAGCCAGGCAGTCAGATCTGAGTGGCTGAGCCTTCCAAAGCTCCTACAAAGCAGACAGAACCCACAACCACAGGAAGTGTCTGAGCAGCTAACCTGAGTGACCTGTTCTCCTAATGTCCCTGGAACATGACCATTTTCAACCCCATGACCATTTTCAAACCCATGACCATTTTCAACCCCATGACCATTTTCAACCCCATTCTGAGAAGTTTTACATGGTGAGATCCTTCGAAAAAGATGGGAATCCCTCACCATTTAACACCAGATCATGAAGGGGACAGGCAGTTACTGTGATCAATCTCTGGAGGTCCCATGAATTCATCGGTGTACTCCTGGGAACTCATAGGTGACTTGCCTGGGTACAGTAGTAAAGCCTCCTGTGTAGCTCTCAGACATGAATAGACACTATATTATTCTTCTGGGAACTCTGCACTGTCCCTACCCTGGCCTAACAAGAAAACAGTCACCATCAAGCAACTCATGATAACTGACATGTACTCCACACCCAGAGCTGAGTGTACTATGCACACAGCTGCCAGGTAATGTGTCATGTCAATCAAGAGTAACATCCAAACTGGAGGTGCAATTTCATATTTCCTGCAACCTAGGACACTTGGATATCCACAATTATTGATTACATTGATTACAACTGAATAAACTACACAGATACACTAAATTACCCACCTGGAAACCAAACCATTATATCACATTCAAGTGACAGCCTGGGGCACATTGCCAGGAGCAAGGTCTTATTATGAAAGCTACCCTACATAAGTAGCAGAGACAACTGAGATATCAGATACACAAATACCAACATAGGGACATAGGAAGCATGAGAAAACAAGGTAACATTATACCTTCAAAGGAGCATAGCAATAGATCACAAAGAAAAGAAAATTGATAAACTCATGGAAATATGATTTAGGAGGGTTTTAAGAAAACAGTCAGATGTAAGATAATATAGACAGACAATTCAATGAAATTCCTGATATGAATAAGAAATCCAGGAAAGGGATTGAAATCATTAAAAAGAACCAAATATTGAACTAAAAAGGAAACTCAATAAATAAAATATCAGACAAAATTGAGAGTTTCTACCACAGAATAGATATAAGGCATTTGTAAGCTGAAAGACACTCTTCTGAAATAATCTTGTCAGAAAAATATAATAATAATAATAACAAAAGAATAAAGAAAGCCTTCAAGAACTATGGGCCACCAATAAATGAGCAAATATTTGCATTACATATGTTCCAGAAGAAGAAGAGAAGGAAAAAATCATGCAAAATGAAACTATGGACAAAAAAAAATGCGAATTATGGGAAAGAAAATGACTCACAGGTTTAGGAAGTTCAGAGAGCCTATAGTAGATTCACCCCCCAAAAAAATTCTCTCAGAGGCATAATATTTTCAAACTGTCAAAAGTACAAGATGAAAAGAATTATTTAAAACATCAAGCAACACCTAGGAAATCTTCATGAGACTAGTAGCTCACATTTTAGCAGAAATTTTTATAGGCCAGAAGACAATGGGGTGATGCATTCAAAGTCCTAAATGAAGCACAAAATCAAAAACAAAAAACAGATACCCAAGATTACCATTTCTAGAAAAGCTTTTCTTCAGAAATGAAAAAGATACAGTGGGTTTTCAAGACAAGCAAAAACAAAGGGAATTCCTTACCATAAAAGTTCAAGGGAGTACTACATTAGAAGTGAAAGATGATAACTACAGTTAAAGATATGCATAAAAATACCAACCTCACTGCTAGAGCAGAAACACAAAAGAAAAAGAAGAAGAGAATCAATCATCAATGTGGAAAACCATCCAACCACAAACATGAACAAGAAGATAGGAAGACAGGGGAAAAGGAAACAATGAACAATAAGAAAATAATCCCTTCAAAGGACAGGACTATGTCTGTAGGTATTGGTAGTAATCTTGAACTGAAACATATTAAGTTCCCAATTTAAGTCAAAAACTTGCTGAATAGATAAAAAACAATATCCAATGATATTCTGGTTTCAAGAAAGTCACTTCATTAGAAAATATAAATACACACTGAAAGTGAAGGTATAAAAATTTACAGGACAAACAGAAACCAAAAGTATATAGATGTACCAGTACTTATATCAGGTGTAATGGATATTAAATCAAAACAAAATATGAAGGAATAACTTTAATCAAGAAAGAGAGTAATATCTACACAGGAAACTACAAAACACTGAGGAAAGAAACAAGAGGTCAAAAATAAGATGAAAGTAAATATATGCCAGTTTATGGATAAGAAGAATTCTTGTTTGTTAAAATGCATACCACCCAATGTGTCTATAGATTTAATGCAATTTTTATCAAAATACCAATGACCTTCTTCACATAACTAGGGGAAAAAGACAATCCTTAAATATTTACAGAGACAGGGTTTGGGTTATGGCTCAGCAGTATGGTGCTTATGTCGCAAGTGCAAGGTCCTGGGTTTGATCCTCAGCACCACATAAAAACAAACAAACAAAACAAAAAAAACAAACAAACAAATAAACAAATAAAGTAAAGGTATTGTGTCCAACTACAACTACAAAAAATTTTAAAAAAAAGATTTACAGGATCAAAAAATAATACCCTGATATGTCAAACCAATAATGAGCAAAACATACAAAACTGGAGGCATTTATGACACCTGACTTCAAAATATACTTCAAAGCTATAGTAATCAAAGAGCATGGGGTTAACATAAAATAAACACAGATCTATATGACGTATTAGAAAACCAAAAAATAAATCCATGTTCTTAATCAATCCACTTATTTTAACAAATGCATCAAGAATATACATTAGAGAAAGGAAAGTCTCTTCAATAAATGATGTTGGGAAAACTGGACATCTACATGTATCAGAAAGAAACTAGACTCTATCTTTGGTCAGATATAAAAATCAACTAAAAAATGAGTCACAGACTTAAATGGAATTACATCAAACCAAAAGCTTCCGTATTTCAAAATAAAAGGATCAGCAGAGTGAATAGATGGCACAGAGAAAAGAAGAAAATATTCTCCAAATATGTATCTTAAAATGGATTAATTTCCAGAATACTTAAGGAGCTCAAATAGCTCGAGAAAACAAAAATAAATAAATTATCTGATTAAGATAGACTCCCACTCGTGCCCCGGAGTCGTCGCCGGCGCGGATCCAGCGCCAGCTGAGGGGCCCACTGAGGAAACCCACTGCCCCGCGCGGCGCCAGCCTCAGCCCCCGCAGAATGTTCTCATTGCCCCGCGGCTTCGAGCCCCAAGCTCCAGAGGACTTGGGGCAGCGGAGTTCGGCAGAGCTGGGGGAGATGTTGAAGCGCCAGGAGAGACTTTTGCGCAACGAAAAATTCATTTGCAGATTGCCCGACAAAGGTAAAAAGATCTTAGACACTGTTGCCAAACTGAAAGCTGCCACTGCAGAGCGTGAGGAGGTTAGAGGAAAACGTGAACTGTTTCGTTCTGCTAGTTTAGACTGTGAGGTAAGGCAAAAAGTAACTGCAGGAGTTGATGTGGATATGGAAAAGGCCCAGAGTTCTGACCGAATACTTGATACTTCATCACCAGTTCATGCCTGTTCCTTTGTAGATAACATCAAATCATCTAACACAACCTCAGAAAAACAGGGACTTGTACATCCTACTCAAAAAGGTGATGAAGAGATTCCAGAGGCTGAGTACACAGTCAACAAGCGCCCAGCCTCCCACAAGAGATTCAGGGGATCTTCCTCACTTGAAGCAAGAGAGCATCTCCCTCAGCATTGTGTTTCAAGTCAAGCAGAAGATACTTCCAGCAGTTTTGACAACCAGTTTATTGATAAGTTCCAAAGGATCACAGTTGCAGACCAAGGTACACATCACTCGGAAGAAAACACAAGTGCTGAAAACTTGATGGGCCTTCGTGATAGGACTCCTAAGAAGCCCCATTACCCGGAAGTGTTAGAAATGAGAGCCAAAAATCCAGTGCCCCCACCACATAAATTTAAAACTAATGTTTTGCCATCACATCGCAATGACTCACCTAGTCATTCTCAGAGGGGAGAGTCTCCTGTTTCCTTGGCAGAGCAGAGGCGCAGGGACAAGCAGCATCTTGATGACATCACAGCAGCGCGGCTCCTGCCACTTCACCATCTGCCTGCACAGCTGCTTTCCATAGAAGACTCTTTGGCACTTCAGAAACAGCAGAAACAGAATTATGAGGAGATGCAAGCAAAGCTCGCAGCACAAAAATTAGCTGAAAGACTGAATATTAAAATGCAGAGTTATAATCCAGAAGGGGAGTCTTCAGGGAAGTACCGAGAAGTAAGAGAAGAAGATCAGTCCTCTGATGATGAATTATGAAGATGGGCATTGGAATTATCTCCTAAATCTTCTGCTCTTGAGAATCTTCCATCAGACTTTATAACAAGTATCAAGATTGGTGTCAGACACTGTTGAGGGAGAAAACCTTATAAAGTTACAAAAATGTTGCTACAAAAAAAGAGCTCAGTTTGTCTTTCAGAAGATGATCTTCATGTGATTGAAAAGTTTAATATTTCAATATTGTGTTTAACCATATTGTATTAAAATTTTGTGGTATGTTGTGCATTGGTCTGATATTTTAGTATGTAGTGGAATATGTTTTTTTTTTCCTTTCAAATGGAAGTAGATAGCTTCACTTTTTTCTTATCCTTACCTCTATAAAATAGCATTTATTATGTCTTTTAGTGAAACACTTAGTTGTCCCAGGTACCTAAAATAAATTAGTAAGACTTAGTTCCCTCTTTTTTTGAGCAGTGAAGGGAATACAGTCCAAAGCATTGTGTGTATGCTTACTTGGAGTAATTGAGATCTGGGATGTGAATTACCTTGAAAGACACTCATAGAAAAATGCTTCGCAAATGTTTGTTTTATTCTCTTAACTTCCCCTAGGAAGATTGTTCTTACTTCTGATTAGGAATAAGGAATATTTGGGGGAGATGCTAGAGGGGCAGAGGGTTTTTCTAGATGACCAGATTTGCTGGAGTAAGTTGTGGAATAGGAAATGCAGCTGCGAGCTAAATGAAAGGAGTAGTTGTTCTCATGCTTTACTTGACTGGAGTTCTTTGCTCTCACAGTTGAGGTTCATGTGTAGCACATTCATGTTTTGGTATGAGAACCGGTTATTTTTTCAAAGTTATAACTGAATTGTCAGTTGTCAGTACTTTGCTTCCTCCTCCCCATACCCCTCCCCACCACCAAGAGGCATATATAGGCTGCAGAAACCTCAATCTCCTATATATACATGTTCCTGTCATTTAAAATGATTATATGGTTGTCTCCAGAGAAATTATGTTATTAAAAAAATTCTTTGTTTAATGTGGAGCCTTTAAAAGTATTAAAATGAAAAATAAAATATTAATTAGAATAAAAAATTATCTGATTGAAAATAACCTGAACTGACATTTTTAAGACATTCAAGCAAATGGCCAAAGAATATATAAAAAACTACTCTATATCACAAGCACCAGGAAAAGCAAATAAAGCCCACAATAATCTCACTCCATTTCGAACAGTGATTATCAAAAAGAAAAAAAAAAACAGAAAGTGATGATGAGGATGCAAAGAAAGGTAACTATCACATATTCCTGGTGGGAATGCTTTCAATTTTGGAAACAGAATTTCTTTTCTCCAAAGTCTAGAAATGGAACAGCCATAGGGTCCAGCATATGCACTACTAGGTATATTATCAAAAGAACTAAAATCAGTATTTTGAAGAGATCTGCACTTAGAATTTATTGCAGGGCTTTTCATTATTGCCAAGATAGAGAATTAGCGTAGGTTACCATCAATGAATGAATGAATGGATAAAGAAACTGTAAGATAAAAATACAATGAAATATGATTCATTCATAAAAGGACTGAAATTCTGAATTTTTCAGCAACATGGATGGAACTGAACAACATTATTGGATGTAAAATAATTGGGGCACAAAAGACCAAATATTACATATGCTCACATTCAGAGGCTAAAAGTTAGACTTTAAAGAAGTAGAGAATAGAAACAGAATTACCAGATCCTGGGAAGGGGTGGGAGGAGAGAGGAAGGAGAATGCTTAGTTACTAAGTACAAGGGGTACAATTGAATAGAATGGATAATGTCTGATGTACAGTAGGGTAATTATGCTGACAACAACTAATTGATTATTTTAAGACAGCTAGTAGATGTATTTGGAATGTTCCCAACACAAACAAATGATAAATGTATGAAATAATAGAAAGGCCAAGAACCCAGAGGAGATCATTACATATTGTACACATATAAGGAAACATCACCCTATAAACCATGATTATATGCAATTATTATGCATCTATTGCAAGTGAAATACATTTTAGAAAAGACAAAAAATCATTTTTTCTCCAAGTATTAGAAATTGATATTATGCTTTCATATTTAATATACAAGGTGGTCTTCTAAATATTTTCATATTTTTTATTAGTTTACAGTCATATTTCAGTAACACACTTTATACTCACAATTAATATATATTAAATGTGAGGCACAAAATTGTTTCTATTTTAGATCTTTTTATTTTTATTTTAATTAATAATGCTTCATGTTCATTTCAATTAAATATAAAAACCCTATGAGAGAAAACATTTCTTTTTTCTTACTTATTAAAACTTGCTGTCTTTCATGAACCTTGAATAAGTATATTCATTTAATGGCACTATAAAAATATCGGTGTGGTTATAATTAGATCATTAACTTTATTGCTATAATCATTATATATGGTTAAACTATTACCCTCAGCAACCCAATTAGTGTCCAATTGGTACAGGTGGTCTCTAAGAATTTTCTGAGTATAACGTACACCCTTGTAAGTGAAAAATTAATTATATACAATTCATGTTTATTTTCACCTAGTAAAATGATAGCATACCATATTAGGTCATACAAGATATTTTCTGATTTACCAAATATTCATTTGCTTGCTTTGTTATATTTATATAATAAAATTTACATATATATTTAAATCCCTTTTATCCATCATTTTATTCTCATTTACATGAACAAAGTATGATTTCAACAATGTATCAGAAATTTTGTACAATCACTTGAAATTATTATATTTCAACATTAAAATGTTGTCTTTCTTTACTCAAATAGCAAATAAAGAGCTCAATATTACATCAGCCATCCTACTCAATTATTGTGAAACAAAGTAGAATAAAATATGTATAAATACTAAGGAGCCTTTAATGGAGTTGGTTCATACTTTTCGAGACTCATACAACTATAAATACTTATAGAAATAGTAAATTACTTTGCTGTAAAATAGCAATACAGAGGGTAGAACTTTTAAATCCAGGAATTGACACACACAGTGAAAGCCACAGCAGTGGTCTGTGAGGGCTGGGATTGTGGCTCAGTGGTAGAGCACTTGCCTAGCACACATGAGGCACTGGGTTGGATACTCAGCAACACATTAAAAACGAAATAAAGATATCATGTCCACCTACAACTAAAAAATAAATATAAAAAATAAGTGGTCCATTAAATGCAATATATATGTGTGTGTGTGTGTGTGTGTGTATACACGTGCGCACACACACACACACACACACACACACACACTTTCTATCTACCTATCTATTTATATTAATTGGAAATTGGCTTTCTGCACAAAGCCTGAGGGAAGAAGAGAATTTCCATCTCTTAATCCAGAAGTAGAGATACCCTTTGTCCTAGGAATGTGTCATGGACACAGGACCCCTACTTGGGCTGTGATTAGGGAAAATAGTAGCTGAAGAAATACCAGAAACTACTTACTACTGCAAAAATCTAAATTTCAGGAAACAGCTCTGTGAAAATTGAACTAGAGCAAATATAATGCACCATCCCCTTGACAAATCGAAAAACAAAATCTAAACATAGGAATGTTTCTAAATTCACATGTACAAATCACTTAAAGATGACAAAAATTTGTAATAACAAATCCCACCATTAGGAACAACTACAATAAGCCAGTGTAATTGGAGCAGTAAGTAAGAAGACAACACACACACAAAGTACAAAAAAGAACATGAAAAGACCTACTGATAGGATGTCCACCAAAGTGGAAAAAACAACTCATTCTATGTAAATAGAATTAATTTAGTTAACTGGAAAGTTAAGGCAGAGTTTTAAAAATCATTGCTAAAATCCATGAGTAAAAATTTGTGTCATGAAAAATGTCAAGAGAACAAAATATCATCAAATAAAGAAACAATGTAAAGAAGAAAACAACTGTGTTTCCACTAAATGGAAAGGTAAGGTTTATAAATGTATAATTTACAAAAAAGATAATGTATAATTATAAATTAGTTATCAAAAAATATTCAAACTAAAAGTAATAAAATAAACATGAGCTAAAATAATGACTAATACTTTTCACACAAATCTAATTAAAATATGTTAACTGATGCTGGCAACAATGAGTGTTAACTGAAAATTTTTCTAATTGTGTGTGTGTTTGTGCATAAAATTATACAATGATTCTGAATAATATTCTGATAAAGTTCCTACAGAACACTAAAGAGTCTGTAATCGACTTAACTTTTTTTAAGCCTAAATATTGAAAGGCAAAATGTAAAATGTATGGTAAATTCAAACACTTCACTGTGTATACACATCATATAATACAGAGCTAAGGTATATAAACAACCTGCATGCACATATTACTGTCTAGATTTTTAAAAAGTATATGAGAAAATATAAAATAACATAATAGCCAAATTCTAGTGAGCAGTTGTTCATTTGTTGAATACATAAACAAATTAAGGAGTTACTAAATCAATTAAAAGAAAAAAGATATAAAATTAGTTGGGAAATGTAGGAAGGCATAAATAAAATATTCAGAATGTTTGGATAAAATTGTTCCAAAGCAATGTGTTCAGATTATAAACCATTAAATTGAACTATTTACTGTTAAGTTAATACATTAATTTATTGAATGTATAAGGTGTTATGTATTGCTTTCATTGTAGGTTTAAAAAAATAGGTAATATTTTATAATAAAGGGAATTTAAAAAACTATTTAGAATTCATTCTATTTCATTCTTACACTACTTACATACAGATGATAACAGAAACCATTTCCTTCCAAAAATTTGAAATTAAAAAACCTAATTTAAAAAATGTCTGTCTAGCTCTAAGACTCTGAAATCCTTTGGATTTCTAAATTTAGAACTGATTTATATTCAGTTTACCTATTATATATATTTTCTAAATAATTGGTAGAACTTCATATATTATTCATATATGCTATTTGAAAACTATCATCTCTACTGCATCAGATTATATTTTTATGAAGTGCAAAGCAAACAAATGTTTGTCAACTAAAAACTAAATATTTCCTTTGCCAGTTTGCTAAGGCTAC